GCTCCACTATTCATGGCTGATCAAACAACTCAGTCCCCTGTTCCCATATTCTCCCTATTGATCACTTTAGCCCGAAGAGCTATCTCTAACTTCTTCTTGCAAACATTCAATGTTTTGGCCTCAACCGCTTTCTGTGGCAGAGACTTCCACAGGATTCCCCACTCTCTGGGTGAAGATATTTCTTCTCAACTCAGTCCGAAATGGCCTAGCCTGTATCCTGAGACTGCGACCCCCTGGTTCTGGGCTGCCCTGTTCATCGGGAACATCTTTCCTGTGTTTACTCTGTCTAGTCCTGTTAGAATTTTAAAAGTTTCCGTGAGTTCCCCTCCTCATTCTTCCAAATGGCACTGAATATAGTCTTAAATGATCCAGTCTCTCTTCATACATCAGCCCTACCATCCCAGGAATCAGTCTGGTAAACCTTTGTTACACTCCCTCCGTCGCCAGAACATCCTTCCTCAGATAAGGAGACCAGAACTGCACACACTACTCCAGGTGTGATCAGTACAGTTGCAGCAAGACATCCTTACTCCTGTACTCCAATCCTCTCGCAATGAAGGCCAACGTACCTTTTGCCTTCTCAATCAACTGCTGCCCCTGCAATGCTTACATTCAGTGGTTGATGTAGAAGGACACCCAGGTGTCACTGCACCTCTCCATTTCTGAATCACCATTCAGATCATAATCCACTTTTCTCATTTTGCAACCCAAAGTGGACAACCTTGCATTTATCACATTATACCTCCCGTTACTAGGCTGATTGTGGCCTGGATGTGACTGTGGGTCAAGCTGGCAGACATCTTGCCTGGCAGAGGGCCAGAGTGGGGTTCAGAGGAGGATGGGGTGATCCTCCTGGACACATCCCGCTACTGGAGCAGCTTTGGCCAGCCTTTTGTGGGGGAGTGGGGGGGGGTGGTGTGCCTGCGCCACAGGGAATAGGCCTTCCAGCGTTGGCCAATAATCGTTCACGTGCCGTCGATGCCTCTTCAGAGGGCACCTCGGGGCGGAGACACCCTCACATGCGCGGCCCTCTCTAGGCCAAGGTCTCTCTAATTGGGCCAGTAGTCTCCGAAATCCACCCGCTGCCCCAAGATGGCAGTGGGGGAGCGGGGCTAAGCCCCGGGCTCGTCTGCTCCTGCCCGTTTTCATTCTTCCAACTGTTGCTCTCTTTGTCTTCCTTTTCTTTAAAACCTGGGGTGCGGCTATTTGGTGGCGCCGGCACGGCAGCGAGAGTGGACTGACACGGTTTCTTCTGGAATCTCCTTGGCAATCAACGAGAGCGGGCCATGAATGGATTGGTGGCAGCAATGGGGAGGTAGCAAGGTCACAGTTTCTCCCGGCAACCAATTCGAAACTCGCAGGCCAAGGACGTTTTTCTGTAAGATCTAGATGTTTTTTCTTTCCTTTTGGACTCTTTTTCTTTTATTTCTGCTGGTTTTTTTTTTAAAAGAGAGGGATCGTTGTTTTATCGTTTCTTTAAATTTTGGTTTTAGTAACCAATATGGCGCAGGTGAACGGCGACTTTGCAAATTTTTCACTGCAGTCCTGTATCTCTGTACTTGAACACACGTGAAATTAATATCTAATTCTAATTCTGAAAAGAGGAGGGGGCTGTGCACTGGGGCTTGCGCCCATAATAGGTACCCCCAGAGTCACACTTATCCCCTCATGCCCGCCTTCGGGACCATCAGGCTGTCTGGATTTGCGTCTACTGAGTGTGAAAGGTTTCACAAGCTACTTAACACACTCGGAGACAAACAGAAAAGTACTCACCATACTGGGGTAAGCTACCGACTTCCACTAGTGAAGGCATTAGGTTAGAACAGAGACAAAACATTTCAAAGTTACTAAGTGTACACCATCACATATCTCTCGCCATTTTATTCAGATACATTCTGGGAATTTTGGACTGTGAATGGAACTGCTTTCCTGGACAAGGTTTGGAAATTTTTCTCTACTCTTTGAAACTTAAAATAAACGGAAAGTGAAGACTACCTGACACTGTCCCGCATCAAACACTCCCAGGGGCAGGGACAGCATGGGGTTAGATATAGTGTAAACCTCCCCATACACTGACCCCCATCAAACACTCCCAGGACAGGGACAGCACAGGGTTAGATACAGAGTAAAGCTCCCTCTACACTGTCCCCCATCAAACACTCCCAGGACAGGG